ACCTTTGAGCATTTCTCCAGCTCCACTCCGCCCCCGTCCATATCTGTTTGAGAGAGTTTTTATCCCACTGAATTTTTTTATTTTAAAAGCATTTTTATTTTTACTTTTTATTTTTGTACCTGGTGGTGGTGGCACACACCTTTTAATTCCAGCACTCAGGAGGCAGAGGCAGGGGGATCACTGAGTTCCAGGACAGCCTGGTCTACAGAGCAAGTTGCAGGCCAGCCAGGGCTACTCAGAGAAACCCTGTCATGGTGTTCTGTTTTGTGGAGGGGATTCTTCTGGGGAGGCACCAACCATGTGGTGCTTCGCCTCCTTTTCAGTCCTGTCTCGGGCTACTGCTTTCAGAGGACTTGCAGACACAGCCAAAGACAGATGGCAGGAAGATAATAGGTGTTACTCGATGGCCTTACTGCATGTGACGACATTTTCCGATTTTCACAGCAATTTAAGTCTACATGATTACTGCCTCCATTTTAACAGTGAAGTAGCCAGATGTCCTGTGCAAAGCGAAAGTTCTTTCTCAAACTGTGGATAGCTGCTTGCATGGGAAGCTTGCTTTGTTATAGATTGTTCAGTGAAAAATATGCTTTAGCCTTTACCTTGAGACAGAAATAAGCAGGAGGTTTGGCCAAGTTTCTTTAACTTGTCTGTGAGACGTTGGACTGTGTCCGCCATACAAGAATGTGGTCTTTGAAAACAAGCTTAACTGTTTCATGAACCCTGTCCTTGGACCAATGACAACTGGGTTTGGCTTGTCTTTAAAAAAGAACTGGAAAACAAACTTGGGGCTTTTCAGTAGTGACTGATAGCCCCCTCGAAACTGTCCTAAGTTTTCTGTCTCTTTCTCTTAACCTGTAATTTCTCAATCCGCATTCTCTCCCTCATGTCCAGAATTACCTACGGCTGGTTTCGTCAGTGTCCACAGCTCAGCAGCCTGGCAAAGGTCACACAGCGAGGACAGTATGGGTGAATCCCAGGCTTTGAGGCCGCCTGCTCTGTCGAAATTCCCTTTGTTGATGTTTGTGACTAATGCTGAGCTTGTATGACTTTTGTTTTCTATGTTACATTTATTTTGGGTAGGAATCTGTTGAACTAGTAGGTTCAGGAACTGATGTGGCTGGCTGGCTGGCTTATTGAGCTGTTCATGTAAATTTAAGGTTACTCATTTGTGAGAGTGTCTTGCAGCTGATGATTTCTTTCTTTACAACTCTTAACATCTCATCCATCCATCTATCCATCCATCCATCCATCCATCCATCCATCCATCCATCCATCCATCCACCTATCCATTCATTTATTTGTATATGGAGGTGTTTATCCTGCATGTATGTCTGAGTACCACACACATGCCTGGTGCCAGAGGAGGCTGAAAGATGTTCTGATCGCATGGAACTAGCATTACAATTGGTTGTGAACCACCATGTGGGTGCTGTGTATGGAACCCAGGTTCTATGGAAGAGTTGCCAGCGCCCTTAATCACTGATGCATCGCCTTAGCCCTGGTTGAAGATTTCTAAGGAACTTTCTTTTACTTATGTGTTTTATGTGAGCTTCAGATACTTGTAATTACTAGCTAGGGCTTCCATTTGTGAGCAGTTACGGTGTAACTCATCACCTAGCATGCCTTCCAACCCCTTATTTATGGAGCCTGTGCACCTTGGATTCTCTTGAGTGTTGGTGATGTCAGGTCTGGAATCCACTCTTAATGCTGTCTGTAGGTTGTTTATCGCCATTAGCTCTCATTATTTTAAATAGGTACCCACCCACCTTACACTCTATAACCACAGGATTCCAGGGCTGCCGTGGAGATAATATCTTATGCTCTACCCATTTCACCTCTTTTTACTTTATTCCTACATGTTTTATAACTGCAGCTCTGATAGTGAGAGGGAAAACATTTATAAAAAAGCCTCTTGCTAGGTAGGGTTTGTGTGTAAAATCTCTGAGACTATTGAAAGTCTTACTCCTGACCAGGGACTTAGAAACAAAACCTCCCCATGTGTTTAACATACATTAGTTTGTAAATACAGAGCCTGGCTAATTGCAGTTACAGCTCACAGCAAACCACCTGTGTCTTGTTATTCTGAGGGGGGAGGTGTATGAGTATGTGTCTGTATGCGTGTGTCGGTGCGTGTGTCGGTGTGTGTGTGAGTGTGTGTATGAATGTGTGTCTGTGTGTGGGAATTTGTGAGCACGTGAGTGTGTTTGTGTGTCTGTGTGTGCATGAGTGTGTGTGTGTGTCTTTGTGTGAGTGTGGGTTTTCCAAACACTGAATGCAGAGAAGAGTGTTGGAATAAATGGTTTCTAATTATATCACGTGCCGTGCCCCCACCTTTGATGTGAGGAGATTAATTAGTTTACTCTAGACCTTTTCTGATGAGGCAATTAGTCAGTTTTCTGATACTTTGGGACTCCCCTGAACTCAGGTATGCCAACCTTAAATAGTTTGGGGTGCGTCTGTATAAAGCAATAAATCAATAATTTATTGTACCCTTTCTCATTTTATTAGAATAGTTGAGAAGCAGCAAAAATGTGTGACATTACAGAATCTCTGTTTACTTATGAGATTATTGCTTTGCCTTTCAAATGAAAATTTTGTTTTATTCCTAAGCATGGTTTTGGTGGCTAGGGCTCATGTGTAACCAGCAGAAGTTAGCAAGCGGTTTTCTAAAGGAAAAGCAATGTATAGCCTTATATTTTATATCATGGTAAACTGTTCAGAAGAAATGCCTAAATGAGCCTTGTATACTTTCAATTAAAAAAAAAAAAGTGCTCCTCCATGATAAACTTTCAGCAAAGTGAAACACAGTGTATTGTCAAGCTAGGAAGCCATCCAAGTCAAATTAGCTTAGCTGCTTCATTTCACAGAGAAGCCCAGGATCAAACTGTTTGGGGGTCGGTAGTCAGATTTGGCACTTGTTTTTCTGTCCCCAGGTTTGATGGTATTTCTCCAGTCTTTTGCGAAGTTGTTATTTAAAAAATTTTAACTTTATTGTTTGTATATAGGCGTTTGTATATGTGGGCGTTTGGCCCACATATATGCCTGTGCAACATTTGCCTGGTGCTTGCAGAGTCCTGGAACTGCAGTTAAAGAGGGTTATAAACTGCCCTGTGGGTGCTGGGAACTGAACTGGGCTCCTCTGGAAGAACAGCGCGTTCTCTTCACCACTAAGTTGTCTCTCTAAGTTCCTTGCCAATGTCTCTATGAGAAGGAGTCCTCCTTCCCCACTGATGATTGCCACTTTAAGTACTTTGGGACCTGGGTTTAAAAAACAATACTTCCTGGAAAGAGGTACATTGTCTTCTAAATTTTCTTTAGCAGGACTTGTGATAGAAACATTTGTGAGTCTGTGTGGTAATAAGACGGAAATTCCAAGGTATGAGAAATTTATGTGAACCTGAGCTGCTTAGAGTCATTTTCCTGTTCTGTTGTCAAGCAGATGTATACTTACTACTTTAGGATTCATGGCTGACTATGGCACGGTAGTGAGGGCATTACCCCCTCCCCTGTGTTTTGGTGCTGAGGAGTGTACCTGGGCCTTACACATGCTGAATGTACTCTGCCGTTGAGGTTCCCCATCAGCCCCTTCTTTCCTAATTTCTAACCTTGGTATTGTTCAGGCTTTGCTTTCTGTCTTGATTAGGAGTGAGGAGAGCTGCAGAAATTAAATGCTACATGGTATGGCTGAAATGGCAGTTGAGATCATAGAGTGCACATTTCCTCCTCTTCTTGGCCTTAGGGAGGTTCTTTTGCCCCACAGTGAACCTATTTCTCGTGGTTTCTTTTTTGTAGCTTCTGTTCTTGCTGGTTTAGGTCCTACTGCTGTTCCTGTCATTTTCAGGCCAAGGTATTTCCACCTTCCCTGGGAAAAGGCTCGGAAGGAAGGAGGCGATTCCCATTTCTAAATTTCAGTAAGAGGAAGGGTGGGGCATAGTGATTACTGTACTGGAAACTGAGGGCGTCTTACCTTGAAAAGATTTTTGTCTGAGTGAACTGATGAGCTATACCTTATTCTGTACTTGATTTTTCTAATGCCCCTTTCTGCCCATTCTTAAAATCCAGCAGTGGGACTACTCTGTGCTTGAACGTTAATGTGATTTTGGCATTACAGGTACCAAATAGATCAGCCACTGCATTTGCCTCCAGAGAAGAGGCAGAGGCAGGTGCGGGAGTTGCTCAGTTGGCCCAGAGCATGCTAGGACTTTCCCTCAGAAGGCTGTTAACACGTCTGTCACAGAGTTGCTATCAAGTGGAGTATGGGAGCGAAAGTCAAGTCAAAGGCAGCTGCCAGGGGAGAGGAGAGTGATTAATAAAGTACGTTTTAACTGTTTGAACTAGTTAATTGTTGAGTTACACCGTTGAGTGAGTTCCCTCCTTTCTAAGCTGACTACATACCTGTCGTGTATGCACTTGTCTCTAGCCTGCATCTGTTCATAGGCTAAAAATGAAACCCACTGACAACTCTCACCTGGAGGACCTTTAGAGTTGTTCAAGAAAATCTGCTTGGGCTGGAGCTAGGGCTTGTTTTTATTGTCCTTGATGGTAATTCAGAAGCCGTTTTCATCCGCAGAGCTATTTGATCTAGTCCTGGAGTGTGTGTGTGTGTGTGTGTGTGTGTGTGTGTGTGTGTGTGTGTGTATGTGCTTATTTTAATTAGGTATAGGACTTTGGCTACCCCTGCTATTCAAGGACACTGGTAACCAATCCTAGCCCACTTGTTCTAGGCAGATTAAAACATTCTTTTTCCCCAGTGATATTTAAGGGGCAAATTCCAGGATTGCAGTATGGTTCTAAATTGTGGTTCATAAATCATAGTGAAAGAGTTAACTTTTTAAAGCATTGCATTCTAAAATCAGATTGTGACTATTCTCTTGTCTTTTGTGGCCCTGGTTCTAGCTTCTGTATGAAGTATCAGCATGTAATTTGTTTTCTATTGGCTTAGACAGTTTATGACGTCACTACTCAGTTAATGTTGTTCCTGCCTTCATGTTTTGCAGGGATATCAGTATGAACAACATCACCCAGTTACCAGAAGATGCATTTAAGAACTTTCCTTTTCTAGAGGAGCTGTAAGTACTGCTTTGAGCAACACGTACTCATGTGTTTTCTACTCCTTCTTTTCAGAAGCTCCTTCTATGGAGAGAGCCTACTGTTTTCTGTCAGAGAATTTCTGATAGCTTAGGTTTCAGTGGTCTTGTGCAGAGGAATTGTGTTTAGGGGTTAGGGGAGAACAAACTTGCTTTTTAAGCAGTGTAATTACTGAAGTTATTTTTGAAAGTCAGAACTAAAAACTGCTACTTCCATAAGACATTTTCCCCCCTGCAATTATAACCATGATTGCAGCAGTGACACAAGTTAATTACAGTGTGATCCTGCGATAACGTGGCTCCTGCATAATTACCATTGTTGCCAAAGGAGTTTCTGTATGGGTAACAGAACCAGAAGAAATAACACAAGGTGTTCCAGGGTCATGATGTAACAGACCACTTTGACAGCAAGTGGACAGCAAGCAGAAAACTGATAACAGATCTCTTTAGCTGTTTGCACATGACCTTTGGGGGGTAAAAGTGTATGACATCTGCCTGCTACATCTAGAGCACTTTTAAGAAGATTTCTGTATTTGTCAGTTGCATTACAAAAAGAGAGAGAGAGAGATGGTTTTAACCTCTCTTTTAGTTATACCTTCCATATGCTTTTAACATCCATAATGAAAAGAATGTACCTTTTGTTTTTAGAAGAATTGGAAACTATGCATTATATTTTTGGAATCCTGGTGGAAAGTAAAATTAGATTTGAGTCAGTTAATATAAGCTCCAGTTCATGGATTATGTGGTATGTGTAGAAAGGTTACAGTTTGATATTAAGAGTATCAAAAAGACACAGGCGTGAAGGGATCTAAATTTGTATCTGTAGAATATTAGAAACAAGGCAGTGAAGCTGCTTCTTCAGGCTCAGCCCCTCCCTTGCAACCTAGAGTAGGAGTCAAGTTAGAGCCGGATTGTATTCCTAGCTCATTGAAATAGCAGTTTAAAGACTTAATAAAATTGAAGAGAATTTTTTCCCACACTACTTAGTTGAGCCTAATGCTTCCACAGCAAAAATTGAACAGAGATTATTTGTCACAAGTTTAAGAGCTGGGTCAAATTACTTAGACTCTAAACTTGGTGCCTTTGACTGTAAGGTGTGATTAATAATAATCCCTCATTTGTATTATTCTGGTGCATACAAAATGTGCATCTTAAATGTTTAGTATGATATATGATCCAGAATGTTATACAAATGCTTGCGTGAGGAAAAAATTATGTTTGGACAAAAGTATTTAAGGGTATGGTGTACTTTATTCATTTTTTTTTTATATAATGAGTATTAATTGTTTTTAAATAATGCTGTTTGAAGCCAGGAGCAGTGGTTCATGCCTGTAGTCTCAGCACTCTGGAAGGCAGAGGCAGGGGGATCTCTGTGAGTTTGAGGTCCTCCTGCTCTGCAAAGTGAGTCCAGGATGCCAAGGCTATATAGAGGAACACTGTCTCAAAAACACAAGCAAACAAACAAAAATAATGCTGTTTGAGTTAATTGCATTTGAAGTTTCTATCTTCACCACTATAATCAATCATTAAGGTACTTTTCTGCTCTCATATTTTTTTTCTGCGTGTAATTTTAGACTTCAGGATTACCTCTCTTTACAGGAGTAATTATGTAATGAAAGGACATTAACAAGTGGTTGTCCAGCCATTGTGTAGCCACTGTGGGATGTATAATGTACCAGATAGGAAGTGGAGAAGCTTCCCGCACCCTGGAAGAGACCACTGTGTGCAGACCACTTTTGTTGATGCCTGCAATTACTAGTTACACTTTTAGGGATTTTTGTAGTGGGAACCTGGCTAATCTCTGCTTTGTGGAGATCTACATCGTAGATTTCTTAAAATCTCAAATGACCAAGCATTTGTGAACCTCATGAGCTCTATCAGCTGAGGGTTTTCATTGGAGCCAAATCGAGTTTGCTTGCTAGTTCTTTGCAGCCAGGTCATGTTCTCTCTGTATTCTACTATCTCAGCAATGAAGCCTATCAAATCAAGCTGGTATGCCCACTCCGAATACTGTATAAAATTTCAAAAAAAAAAAAAAAATCAGTAAGGAGAGCTGAAAGTTATTTACAAAGAATATTTCAAAATAGTCTTTAATACTATGGCAATAGTTTAGGCATTCAAGGACATTTATTTTCCAGGTTAATATAAACATTAAAAAAGAGTAATTTTTGCCTTTTAAAACAACGTAGTTGATTTCAACATTCTAGAGTGATGCCGCCTTGGCTATTGTAATTTTTCATAAACATCATAACCATTTGTTCAGAAGCCATCTGGAAATGATTTAAGAGTGACTGTGAAGCTGAGTACCCTAAGTAGAAATGAGTGACTTGCCCAGGGTTTTTTTTTTTTCCATGTTAGTTAATGAGGTGTTCTTTGTAACACATGACTGGATTTGGCTAAATTTCATGCAGGAATCTGGAATGCTTAGAGTATGGGGTAGAGTCACTTCCCAACGATATATAAGAACCATTCATACATATTTGCACACCCATTTATTCTTTCAGCAAACACTGAGGCCTGTTACTTGCCTGTACTTGTGGTGTTCGTACTAGGGGTACGATAGGGACACAAGTGTAGTCCTTTGGGGAGCTGACAGTGTCCTTCAGGTTGCATTGTTTGATGTCATACCAACTAGAAGTAGGTGGCCATTTAAATTTAGATGTGAGTGAAAGTTAAAAAAAAAATCAACTCCTTTTCTGAGAAGTAGCCATATTTCACAGTTTATTTCATACTTTTTATAGTGCTGGTGACCGAACCCAAGGCCTCATACATGCTGTTCAAATTCTCTGCATAGAGCTACAGTGCCAGCCCTGAACTACCACATTTTAGTGTCGTAGCTACCTATGCCTAGTGGCTGCCATCTAATGAGACACAATTTTCATTATTGCAGGAAATTCTGTTGGAAATTAGATTAGTTAATCTAATCTCCAGAGAGAGATAAAGCGAACAGTTTGTGCTTTTGTACATTTGTGTGGAAGTATGTGTAGGGAGTGGAAGCCAAAAGCACTAGATTTACTTGAGATTTTAGGATGTGGGAAGTCTTTTCAATTCCTCGAATCATTTCCATTGAGTTTTGTGGAGTCTAGCAACTGGCCGGATGAAGACAGGTAGTAAGGGGACTCTGTAAAAACGTCATAGAATGTGGAATAGTCTGGAGATAGAAACTTCAGGAGAACTGGGAAATATGGAATGACTGGATGTATGGTTCTGAATTATGAATTGAATTATGAATTATGAAGACATTTCTCAGATGATTCCAGATCATGAAAGTTTTTGAGCTGGGGGGAGGGTTGTTAAAGGATTACCAAGGGAATTTAGTTTGATAGGTTTTAGGAGGATGGTAGAATAGTTAGATGCCAGGTACTAAGACTAGAGACACTGGCAGTCAGTCAGCTTGCCTAAAGAGTTCAGTTTTATAAAAATATACTGATTAATAGCACATATATAAAGCTTTTCATTGTTTATAAGATAGTTTTATAAATGCAGAAGCTGGCCTGAAAGGGTTTCAGGTCTTATTCAAGTTCATGAGTCTTGATGTTTTATTGTTCTGAGTCCCAAAGTTTGGCTTTCAAAGCCCTATGCCTCCTGAATTCTGAAGAATGTGTACTCACTCTTAGAGAAATAGTCCATCCAACCTTTCTATATGGATTAGATATAGTAGATAATACTGTTGTCAGTTATTTTTACTTTTAATATACCTTTTAAAGCTTTATTGCTCCTAAGATTGTTACCCAGCAATATTCTCCCCTAGATTCTAGCCCTAAACTCAGTACATGCAAGCTTCTCAGTTGTTAGGTCAATCTCTTGATTTTTGTATCTCATCTTCCTATTTAAAAGGAGACTCCTCACAGGACTACTACAAGAGGAATATTGAATAACATGTAAAAGTTTGTGCATATGAAGTAGGGAAATTTCAATAGTTATGTAAACATGTCAGCCTTTGAAGTATTTGGAGAAGAGGTAGTTTTGCTTGGAGGAAGGAATTGGAGTAGGCTGGTATATCTGTTAGCAATATTCAAAGAAAGCTGTGATTCTGGGGAAACATTCCTGCAGCAGTATCAGGATCTATTGTCTGATACTGCTCATCCAGCCACAAACGCTTCTGGTTCTCTTGAGATTGTAAGGACATTGGTAACCATCTGGGGAATGATTGAAATTTAGAATTGTGAAAACGATTAGTTGTAAACAGCAGGAAGAAGGCCAACTACTTTTCCACAGACTGTCACTGAAAAAAATCCCTGCAGATATTACGGGATGTAGCAACTGTTATAACTACATTGAAGCCATTGTTGAAGCCATTGCCAGTGTTGGCATTCAGTCAGTTATTTCATATACTCAATGACTAAGCTAATTGTATCGTTTCCAAACATGTTGACTCTGAAGGCTTCGGGATACTAAAGTGAATGTTAGGACTTTGAATACCAGATCATTGTTACTTCTCTTGCCTAATCTCTTCAGTACTGAATGGAGCCATTACTTTATAAAAGGCGAATGTAAGCTCTTCCAACAGCGATGGGTAATGAGATACGGAGTATTTGTCCACCATAAAAATGTCACCTTTCTGAAGCCTCCATGTTATCCTGTAATCCATGAAAATATGTTCTGTTTCTTCATAGGGGCCTTGCAAGCACTAGTTAATTTTTAAGTATATAATAAGCTCTATAGCCTGCCACGATTATTTCTATTTTACCCTGCAGTAATTGCCTTTTTCCAAGCTTGAACAATTTTAGTTATTTTTATAAATGGTTTTAAGTAGAAACTATGAAAAAAGAGCTTGAGAATTTTCAAATGAATTATTGTCAAATAATCTCAGCGTGTGCCTCCGAGGTGGAGGTAATAACCAGCTATTGTTCTCGTCTGATATTATACTCAGGAGGATTCGCTTTTGCTGCTGAGCTGTGTGTGACTCACTTCACATTTACTGCCTTATGAAACCTTCCCCATATGCTCTGTTGACTTTAGGAACATCCCAGATAAAGCAG